TCAAAATCAGCTCAGCTCGGCGGGGCTGCCGCCGAATGTTGGCGTCTGGAGCCTGTGCTTGCCTTCATTGGCGGGGGAGGTGCACAGGCACAGCTTTAGGTCATCTCACCGTAGCGTTAAGGAAACCCCCTCTGTTTTAATCCCTCACTTCACGCAGTGGATGTACCCGTGGCAGGGATGTAGCAGCCCGCCATGCCAGGAGGCTCAGGTGTGCATGCTGAAATTGGGCAAACTTCATACTGCAGCTTGAACCTGGCTGGTTCAACATTGGCTGCTTCAGGATTTTTGAAACTAGAAAGTGGTAAACTACTCGAGATGACAGGTATGGGCACGCATGAGTGCGTGTAGTCTTAATGGAACCTGCTTAACAACTGATTTAAAGCAAATGATTGAAATTTTCTTGTTAAGTGGAGGAGCTAAAGTTAGTGTCTTAAGCAGATCTTTTTTGAGTGGTTGTCAGACTACATTTGTGTCATCCGTGTGCAGAAAGGCGGTCACTTCAGCCACGGCAGTACCCATAAATTACGTGTGCTTGTTCCCTCAATCATCTCGTGTAGGTGGTCAGAATATGCCCTGAATCCTCAGTTCTTCACAACAGTTGGCTTGAATCGGAGCTTTCGTTTAGCTTGCAGTGATCTAAGCTGCATTTCTTTGCATCTGCTTATCTTTAGTGGTTTCTTTGGCTTGTTTTCTTCTAATCAAAAGGTTTTATTCTCCCTTTCCTTGTTTTTGTCACTACAACTGTTAAGCATTTTGGATTTGAGACAGTAAGTCTGTCTGCCCACCTGTCTAGCTCTGTGTTCCATCAAGGAATTTTTTGGATATCGAAGGTTAGAGGGAAAGAAGGACAAGGTGGGTTGTACCTGCTAATGCCAGGTGTAGTCATCGGCAAGGCAAGAAGACCACACTGCAAAGAGTGATTAGGGGCAAATGTAACACTGAAAAAGCAGCACCTAAGTCCCATAACACGTAGGTCTGCACACAGTGTAAAGATGCTAATGGACATTCCATGGAATGTGGAAAGAGGGGCAGGCCACTTGGGAAGTGTACAGGAATGTGGTCAGAACGTGCAGGGATGCGACAAGGAAGGCCAAAGCCCACCTGGAATTGAAGCTGGCAAGGGATGTCAAAAACAACAAGAAGGGCTTCTTCAACTACATCATCTGCAAAAGGAAGGCTAGGGACAATGTGGGGCCGCAGCTGAATGAGGCGGGTGTCCTGGTGACGGAGGACGCAGAGAAGGCAGAGCTACTGAATGCTGCCTTTGCTTCAGTCTTCAGTGCTAAGACTGGCCCTCAGGAATCCCAGGCCCCGGAGGTAAGAGAAGAAGCCCACAGAGAGGATGACTTTGCCTTGGTCGAGGAGGACTGTGTGAGGGATCGCTTAAG